GCCAGTGGTTGTGCTGGTGCTGATGGTCGCAGTGGTGCTGATAGTTGTGCCAGTGGTTGTGCTGATTAAGCGCGCCACTCGCTGCATAAACATTCACCGACATCTTGACCAAAATCTGCACTAGCGCTCTCGCTGTTTAATGCACCAGCTGGGTGGTTGTGCTGGGGGGTTGTGTTGGGGGTTGTGCTGACGGGTTGCGCTGACGGGTTGCGTTGGGACGTTGTGCTGAAGGGTCGCGCCGGAAGTTACATGTATCGAGGGCGCACTGGTCGTAGACAGCTTGTCTGTATAGTTGTACATACACATGTGCTATATCGTGGAGCTGTCTTGGAGGCCTCTTGGGCCGTCTTGAGCGGCCCGAAACCAGAACAGGCGGAAACTTCATAATCTTTCAGAACATTCAGGACAAGCACTGTTTGCTGCCTCCCCGGGCACGCATCGGGGGCCTCTCGGAGCTCTCTTCGGCCGTCTTGGGCTGTCTTGGGGGCTTCTTGGGCCGTGTTGAGGCCGTCTTTGGGGGCGCCTTGAGCCGCCATGGGCCATCTTGGCGTCGTCCTGGCTGTCTTGGGAACCGTCTTGGAGGCCACCTTTGCGCTGGAGGCCGAACCTTCTACAGCACAACCTCCAGCCCAACCTCCAGCAAAACCTCCAGCACAACCTCCAGCACGACCTCCAGCACGACCTCCGGCACAACCTCCAGCACGACCTCCAGCACAACCTCCAGCACAACCTCCAGCACAACCGCCAGCACAACCTCCAGCACAACCTCCAGCCCAACCTCCGGCGCAACCTCCAGCACAACCTCCCGCACAACTTCCCGCACAACCTCCAGCACAACCTCCAGCACAGCCTCCAGCACGATCTCCAGCACAACCTCCAGCACAACCTCCAGCACAACCTCCAACACAACCTCCCGCACAACCTCCAGCACAATCTCAGCGCAACCTCCAGCACTACCTCCAGCACAACCTCCAGCACAACCTTCAGCACAATCTCCAGCACAACCTCCAGCACAACCGCCAGCACAACCTCCAGCACAGCACAACCTCCAGCACAACCTCCAGCCTCCAGCACAGCCTCCAGCACAACCTCCAGCACAACCTCCAGCACAACCTCCAGCACAACATTCAGCACAACCTCCAGCACAACCTCCAGCCCAACCTCCAGCACAACCTCCAGCCCAACCTCCAGCACAACCTCCAGCACAACCTCCAGCACAACCTCCAGCACGACCTCGAGCACAACCTCCCGCACAACCTCCAGCAAAACCTCCAGCATACCCTCCAGCACAACCTCCAGCATAACCTCCAGCACAACCTCCAGCACAACCTCCAGCGCAACCTCCAGCGCAACCTCCCGCACAACCTCCCGCACAACCTCCAGCACAACCTCCAGCACAACCTCCCTCCAGCACAACCTCCAGCACAACCTCCAGCACAACCTCCAGCACCTCCAGCACGCACTCGAGCACACCCTCCAGCACAACCTCCAGCACAACCTCCAGCACGACCTCCAGCACAACCTCCAGCACGACCTCCAGCACAACCTCCAGCACAACCTCCAGCACAACCTCCAGCACAACCTCCAGCCAACCTCCAGGCGCAACCTCCAGCACAACCTCCAGCGCACAACTCCAGCACGCACAACAACCTCCAGCACAACCTCAGCGCAACCTCCAGCGCAACCTCCAGCACAACCTCCAGCACAACCTTCAGCCCAACCTCCAGCACAACCTCCAGCACAACCTCCAGCCTAACCTCCAGCACAACCTCCAGCACAACCTCCATCACAACCTCCAGCACAACCTCCAGCACAATCTCCAGCACAACCTCCAGCACAACCTCCAGCACAACCTCCAGCACGACCTCGAGCACAACCTCCCGCACAACCTCCAGCAAAACCTCCAGCATACCCTCCAGCACAACCTCCAGCACAACCTCCCGCACAACCTCCCGCTCGACTTTCAGCACAACCTCCAGCACAATCTCCAGCACAATCGCAGTCTCCAGCACAACCTCCAGCACAATCTCCAGCATAACCTCCAGCACACCCTGCAGCACAACCTCCCGCACAACCTCCCGCTCGACTTTCAGCACAACCTCCAGCGCAACCTCCCGCACAACCTTCCGCACAACCTCCAGCACAACCTCCAGCACAACCTCCAGCACGACTCCAGCACGACCTCCAGCACAACCTCCAGCACAACCTCCAGCCCAACCTCCCGCACAACCTCCAGCACCACCTCAAGCGCAACCGCCAGCACAACCTCCAGCACAGCCTCCAGCACAACCTCCATCACAACCTCCAGCACAACCTCCAGCCCAACCTCCAGCACAACCTCCAGCACGACCTCCAGCACGACCTCCGGCACAACCTCCAGCACAGCCCCCGCACAATCTCCAGCACAACCTTCAGCACAACCTCCAGCGCAACCTCCAGCACAGCCTCCCGCACAACCTCCAGCACAACCTCCAGCACAACCTCTGGCACAACCTCCAGCACAACCGCCAGCACATCTTGCAGCACAACCTCCAGCACAACCTCCTGCACAATCACAACCTCCAGCACAACCTCCAGCACAACCTCCAGCACAACCGCCAGCGCGACCTCCAGCAGAACATCCAACACAACCTACAGCACTACCTCCAGCTCAACCTCCAGCACAACCTCCCGCACAACCTCCAGCACAACCTCCAACACAACTTCCAGCACAACCTCCAGCACAACCTCCAGCACAACCTCCAGCACAACCTCCAGCACAACTCCCAGCACAACCTCCAGCACAACCTCCAGCACAACCTCAAGCGCAACCGCCAGCACAACCTCCAGCACAGCCTCCCGCACAATCTCCAGCACAATCGCAACCTCCAGCACAATCTCCAGCACAATCTCCAGCACAACCTCCAGCACACCCTGCAGCACAACCTCCAGCATAACCTCCAGCACAACTTCCATCACAACCTCCAGCACAACCTCCAGCACAACCTCCAGCACAACCTCCAGCACAACCTCCAGCACAACCTCCAGCACAACCTCCAGCACAACCTCCAGCACAACCTCCAGCACGACCTCCAGCAAAACCTCCCGCACAACCTCCAGCACAACCTCCAGCACTACCTCCATCACAACCTCCATCACAACCTCCAGCACAACCTCCAGCACAACCTCCAGCACAACCTCCAGACGCTAAAGGAGCCCTCTCTAGGGGTTGTGCTGGCAGGTTGTGCCGGGGGGTTGTGCCGGGGGGTTGTGCTGGGGGGATGTGCTGGGGGTGTGTGCCAGGGATTGTGCTGGGGGGGGTTATGCCGGGGGGTTGTGCCGGGGGGTTGTGCTGGGGGGTTGTGCCAGGGGGTTGTGCTGGGAGTTGTGCTGGAGGGTTGTGCTGGGGGGTTGTGCTGGGGGATTGTGCCAGGGGGTTGTGCTGGGAGGTTGTGCTGGGGGGGGTTGTGCCAGGGGGTTGTGCCAGGGGGGGTTGTGCGAGGGGGTTGTGCTGGGGGGTCGTGCTGGGGGGGTCGTGCTGGGAGGGGGGGGGGTTGTGCTGGGGGGTTGTGCTGGGGGGGTTGTGCTGAGGAGTTGTGCTGGGGGGGGGGGTGCTTGGGGTTTGTGCTGGGTGATTGCGCTGGAAGTTTGTGTTGGGGCTAGTGCTGGGGGTGTGTGCTGGGGGATTTTGCGGAGGGGGGTTGTGCGGAGGGGGGTGTGCTGGGGGTCGTGCTGTGCGAGTGTGTGCTGGGGGGTTGCGTTGGGATCTCCACCTAAATCGTCACTCGCTCCCTCGCGGATTAAATCTTTATCTAGATCTCCGCCTAAATTGTTACTCGCGCTGTCACTGCTTAAACCTTCACTTGACTCGTCGTCGTCGTCGTTGTTCCTTGGCGCTCGCTCGTTTAGTTTTTTCCGTTGTGTTGGTGGCCCGCGGCCGTGCCACCGTCCTGTTGGGCGTTTCGTTTTCGGCTGCTCGGGGGCCGCTGTTTTGTTCACCCGCTGTTTTGTTCCAGAACGGCCCGCGTGACGCCGGCCGGCGTTGTCGCTCAAACTTCGTTTTTTTTTATATAAAAAAAAGAAAACGACACGTGAGCAGAAAACACTGTTCAGGTTGAGCCCTGTTCCAAACCGTGTTTGGGTAGACCGCCCCTGGGGTCTGCGAGGCACTTCAAGAGAAGGTACCTTATCCAGGGGCGGAGCCCTTCAGGAGAGAAAGTCGGTAATGGTTTCAAGAGGCCTGTTGCGATTTTCGCTTGGGTCGTTCGTTGAGCGCTCGACGGGATTATGAGCATTGCTTGGCCAGGTGCATCGTTCTCGGCACACCTCGTCGTCATCCAGAGCCTCCAGAGCCTCCTCCTCCTCCTCCTGCTCCTCCTCCTCCTCCTCCTCCTCCTCCTCCTCCTCCCTCCTCCTCCTCCTCCCTCCTCTTCCTCCTCCTCCTCCTCCCTCCTCCTCCTCCTCCTCCTCCTCCTCCTCCTCCTCCTCCTCCTCCTCCTCCCTCCTCTTCCTCCTCCTCCTCCGCCCGGGGTCGCCGAGCCTCGCGCTTCGCGCCGCGCGGCGCGCACGGCGAGGGGCGCGGGGAGCCGCTGCGCGAGGGCGCCCGAGCGAGCACCCGAGGAGCAGCCCCCTCAGAGCTCCCCTCCATCGATCGATCGATGCGCCCATCGTGCGTACAGCACGGACGTGCTGCTCGACCTCCTCCGCCCGTCGTCCTGCTGCTTTCCGTTCGTCCTCCCCCCCGCTTGCTCTCCCTTCGGGTGCTGCTGGGGGGAAGAGGAGGGGGAGGAGGAGGAGGAGGAGGAGGAGGAGGAGGAGGAGGAGGAGGAGGAGGAGGAAGTACCCCTCGCCCAAGGTAGCCCCAGGATTTCTAGGGAGGCCCCCACGGCCTCCAGAGCGCCCCTCACGGGGCCCCAGGGGCTCCAGGGGCCTCAAGAGTCGGTCGAAAAATTGGGGGCACTTTGGGCCAGGGGCACCTCTGGCAACCCCGGATCCCTCGGGCTGGGGTGGCTGCCGAAGAGGTGCAGGGCATGTCCAGCATGATGGCCGGCGACTTCAAGGGCGACCTCGCCGCTCTGGAGTCCGAGCATTCGGCGGGCCCCTCGGCAGATGGCAGCGGAACGAGGCGACGGCGACGACGGCGACGACGACGATGACGACGACGACGACGACGACGACGACGACGGCGCCGACGAGGATCGAGGGCGCTGGAGGATCGAGGGTAGTCGGGCTTCTTGGGGGACCCCTGAGGCGCTTTTGCCTCAACGGCTGGGCTCCCCCTCGAGGTTCTGGCCACCAGTCACTCCTGGACAGGTCCGAAGGGCTGGCTTCTTAACGGCATGACGAAGACCAAAAGGACGACGACGGAAGCGCCATGAGGCCCCAGAGGGCACCCGGAGTCGAGCCCCGAAAGGATAAAGGCTCAGGGAGGAGGAGGAGGAGGAGGAGGAGGAGGAGGAGGAGGAGGAGGAGGAGGAGGAGGAGGAGGAGGAGGAGGGAGGATGAGGGAGGAGGAGGGAGGAGCAGGGAGGAGCAGGAGCAGGAGCAGCAGCAGCAGCAGCAGCAGCAGCATGAGCAGCAGCAGGACCAAAGTACATCAAAGGCGAATCAGCGATGCTGCAATACGCCCTCACTTTCCACGTCACTCCTCAGACGCACCTGCAAGTCCTCTTTTTCGCTGCAAGCAGCGCCCGTATTGAAACACTGACGCAGCTGGGCCTGTCTTTTTGGCGAGGGCCCTGCCTTGAAAAGCAACTGACTTACTTCTGAACTGGCGCGTAACTCGCGCAACGCGGGAAACGATCGTACAGTTGGACGAGGTGGCCAGCCATACCGTCCTTTCAAAGAAGGACCGACCCCCCATCTGTGCAAGCGCTGCGCGAGATTCCACCTGCAGTCGCGAACTTCGAGGAAGCTTGAATCGATAGCTCGAGTTTGACCGAGAGCCATTCTGGATCCGTGCACCCCTGCGTGCGTCGAGGCCCCGGGTCTGTCAGCTCAGCGGAGCCTCAGGCGTTAACTCGATGCTGAAGAAGAGCAGTCCTTCATCTTGCTCGAGACTGCGCCAAAACCTGATGCGCGCGGCGCCGAGGCGAAAGGTCCATGTTTTGAAACGGCGGGTGATCGGTCCTTGAAGCCGCTGTAGCACTTGAGACACATTCCCGCGGCGCTGAGGCGAGAGCCCCACTTTGAGCAGAAACCGCTTTCCATCCTTGAAACTGGTGAGAAAGTTCTGAAACGAATGCGCGCGGGCCGTGGGCGAGAGCACCAGTTTGTAGACGACCCCCCGTCCATCTTGATAAGTGTTGCAAGCTGTTGACTGGGCGCTGAGGCGATAGCCCCATCTTGAAGGAAGCGCCTTGCATCCCTGAAGCTAGTGCAAACTGGTTGACACGAGTGTGCGCAGCGCTAAGGCGAGAGCCACATATTGAAAGCACCCCCCCATCCGTGAAACGAGTGTAAACGTGTAAGACGATTGCGCGTGGCGCCTAGGCGATAGCCACCTACGCCCCCTCCATCCTTGAGTCTATGAGAATGTTTCAGACGAGGGTGCGCGGCGCTAAGGCGAGAGCCACATCTTGAAAAGGAGCCGGCCGCACTCTGTGAAACGGCTGCAGATTGTTACGTAGCACGCCTGTGCGCGGCGCTGCTAAGGCGAGAGTCACACTTTGAAGCCCCCCCCGCCGCGAAACTGTTGCAAATGTATATGGCGAGTGCGCGCGGGGTTAAGGCGAATGTGTGCGGCGTTGAAGCGAGAGCTGAGCGACCCGCCCTCCAGCAGTGAAACCGTTGCAAATGTCGAGCCCCAGGGCCACAAATGGTGAGCAAAGCTCAGGCGAAACGACGGGCCCGCCCTACCAACACGTCTGGGAGCAGGGAGGAGCTACTGCTTCCAGGAAGGGGGATGGAGGCGGGGGAGGCGAGGAGGAGGAGGAGGAGGGGGAGGAGGAGGAGGGCGAGGGGGAGAAGGAGGAGGGGAGGAGCAGAAGGACAGAAGGGGGAGAAGGAGGAGGGGGAGAACGCCGCGGGCTCGAATCTTCAGGCAGCGCGGCAGCGCGGCAGCAGCAGCGTCCGGGCGGCCGCCCGTGCCTCGAGATCGATCCGATCGCACCGACTGGGGCCATCATTCATGGTTCATTATGTTTCTCTCGTGTTTCCCCTGATTTTGGCTCGCGGGCTCGATTGTCTTCGACTTCTGAGCGTGCTGCTTGCTCGCCGCTTTCGTCTCTGGCCGCGGCAGTTAGGCTTGCTTGACCCTTGTGACGGCGCGCGGCTCTCCCGCTTGCGCTCGCGAGCAAAAAAGTTCCCCCGGTTGCTTTTCAATCATGCGTTGCTCCACCTGCGTCTCCAAAACGGGCAATTACTGCGGGCGCTCAACAGAAAGTGCTACGCGGCGAGAGCGCGCAGGGCACACATAACTGCAGGCGTTGGCACGATTAGCTATTGCTTGAACCGCGGCAATAAGTTCAGCCACGTCGGCGGTAAGCAGACTGGCGATACAGCTTCACATGCTCTTGTATGAGAGCGATGCTCCAAACACGGTTGAGAATAAGCATGCGACAATTGTTGCACCGAGTGCCAACATTGATTCTACCGCTATACCAATCGATATCATCCCAGCTACGCTTGGTGCTGTCACCCCGTGCATCTTCGATGTTATCGCCGCCAACAAAACCACTGGGCAATTCTGATATGTTTGGGATCACTGTTGACCACATCGGCACAGTCGATAATCTAATCTATAATGTTGGCCACACTGCCAGAGATGTCAGGGGAGGCGGAGGCCCTGAGGCTATGTCGCAGACAATTCTGGAAACCCATGAGTACGAACGTACAGCCCCACCCGCTTACCACTGCTTTGCATCATCGCCTCCTATCACGACGGATCAACATACTACTTGGACAGACTTTGGGGATCAAAGATGTCACTTCTACTCATGAGCCGGTTGTTTCACGCAAAGTACCGCTTGCTGCGCAGCGTTTGGTGCGCAGCGTAATCAAGAACTTCCAGCTTGTCCTACCCTGTGAGGCACTTCTTCCAGCCAGACAATAGCTCAAGCGGGCAGGTCGGCAAATCACAGGAACACGTTCGCTTCCAAAATTCACGTGTTTGTTCGCACGATGCTGCCTATATCGATACACCCACCGTTTTTTGCATGTCCCCGTCGCACAAGCGACGAGGGATCCAGCGCCACGGTTTCTATCAAAAGGAGACAAATGTTGGATCGTTGGTCAAGCTATTTTTAAGGATCAGGGATCATCTGTTGCTTCAATTCATCCGGAAAAATATTGCCCAGGGCAGCGACCTCACGGCGAGGGGCCGTTTTTTCGATCCAAGAATAATGCATGAACCACCGCGAACGTGGAAGTTTTTTTGGCACATCTCTCTCATGCGTTGCACCCACTGTGTCTTCGTCAACGTCATATGCAGCATCAGCATCGCCGTCCTTACCGCCATCCGCAAATACTGCCCCAATTGGTACCATTTTCCGCGGCGGGGGCGGTTGATTGAGGTAGCGCTGGTAGCGGGGGCGCAGGGATTATTATTCAGTTGGTCCGCTGTTAGGGTACCCTGCCTTTGCTGTGAAAAGACCTTCGGTGAGGGCCGGCAGCCAGTAAAAACCTTCGGTGATGGGCACCGGCCCAGTAGTGCCGCATTTCCCTCCTCCTATTCACCTTCGTCATCAGATTCCTCTGAGGGCACCGAGCCGGCAGCAGGGAGTGACAATTGCGAGAACGGTGCGATCGTTATACGATAGAGCCCCCAGCTCGTGCCAGCTATGGTTGAAATACCGAGCAGGACGACCGCCACGAGCGAATCGACCGCCAGGCGCGCGATGAGGAAGCGGGGAGGAGGAGTCTGCGGTCGCCTTTCATTCAAGAGTATCGGCGAAGGCTAGCGGCCAGATTGGTAGGGGCCTTACAATTTCTGGCACGGCGCACCTAGAGGAGGTGAGAGGAGGTGGTGAGGGAGGACACGATGGTAGCGGAGGTGGAGGAACACATTTGCAGCATCATCATCCGTGCTAATTGGCCCCTGGATCTAGCAAGTACCCTCGGTGACGGCACCTACCCACCAGGAGGGGGCACATGAGAAGACGACGCGGTCGCTATTTCTAAAACAGCCTCAGAGCCCCCAGCTTCTGCCAGTTGCGATTGGCACCGAGCGAGACGACCGCCGCGAACGAGTCGACCGCCATGAAACTGGTGATGGCAATAGGCTCGTGCGGGGGTGGGGGCAGGAGGTGACGAGGGACAGGGGGTCGGTCAGGGTCCTTGTCACGAGAGGGGCCGGATTGTGGGGAGGACGATTTGGCGATGGGTTGGGGTAGCCTTGCCTGTGCCTGTTCCGTCAGGGCATCCTGGCGAAGCTCCTTTGTGAGCCTTTCCCTGGTCCACTTCGCTTCGCCTCTCATCTCACCTTCTGAGATTCGATTCTGTCACACCAAATAATATGTTTGAGTTTATTGCTTACCCATGAGACAGGAGGATAGAGAAAGAGAGAGAGAGAGAACAAAAAAAAACAGAGAGAGAGAGAGAGAGGAGAGAGTCATGTTGCACGACGCTGCGAGCTCCGTTCGAGCTCTGCCTATCGCAAAAGAGAGGAGGGGGAGGAGGTGGTGGAGGAGCAGGAGGAGACGGAGGAGGAGGAAGAGGAGGAGGAGAAGGTGGAGGAGGAGGAGGAGGAGGTCGAGGAGGAGGAGGAGGAGGAGGAGGTCGAGGAGGAGGAGAGGAGGAGGAGGAGGAGGAGGTGGAGGTCGAGGAGGAGGAGGATGAGGAGGTCGAGGAGGAGGAGGAGGAGGAGGAGGAGGAGGAGGAGGAGGAGGAGGAGGAGGAGGAGGAGGAGGGGGAAGAGATGTTGGAGGAGCAGGAGAAGACGGAGGAACCTCCGCCCTCCGGGCCTGGCCGCTCGCCGGAGACCGAGCCCAACCCGATCGGGCCGCCTGAACAGGGCTCCGCGTGGCCCGGCCCAGCCGTCCGAGCTGCGTCGGGCATCGGGAGCCTTGAGACGGGGGTCAATGCAAACGGGGGTCAGCCAGAGCGCCCGGTCTTGCAGGATCCTGCAGGGGCAGGGCCAGATTGACCCGAGCAT